TTCTTTTCTTTCTTGTCCTTCTTGTGCTTCTTCTTTTCATCCTCATCATTGTCACTATTGTAGGGACAATCCGCTACAACGTGATCTGAGCTCTTGCAATTGTAGAATCTTCTCACATAGTCTTTGCTTTTGGTGTGATCTCTTCTCTTTCTTGCACCATAGCCCTTCTTCTTCATGAATTTACCCATCTTGCGCACAAATAGAGCCATGGCCTCATCATCAATGTCACTAAGATCCTCATCATCACTTGATTCTTTCTTGGACTTGCCCTTGTTCTTGGATGATGAACTAGCCTTGAATGCTACACTCTTCTTCTTCTTGTCTTCATCTTCCTTCTTGTCATCCTTGTCAACCCCCTCCCTTTCCACATGATATGTCTCTTGTGTCATGACATCACCTAGTACTTGGTTAGGGGTAATCTCCTTCAATCCTCCTCTTATGATAAGCAATCTCAACATCTCAAACCTTGGAGGTAGGCACATTAAGAACCGATGAGAGACATCATCATCCTTGATCTTCTCTCCCAAAGCCTTCAAGTCATTGACAATTACTTGCAACCGATGGAACATCACTGAAATGCTCTCATCATCCTTCATCTTGAAGCTTGTCAACTTATCCTTGAGGATGTATAACTTCGCACTCTTCACCGCCGGTGTGCCCTCATATGTTTCCTCCAATCTCCTCCACACCTCATTAGCTCTTTCGCAATCCTTGATTTGCTTAAACACCTTGGAATCAATGGCATTGTATATGGTGTTGAGAGCCATTGTATTGCATTGCTTGTTGGTCTTGTCTTGGTTGGTGGGATTGTCGGGATCAATGATAGCATAGTCATTCTCGGTCACCTCCCATACTTGATCGTTGATTGAACCAAGATACATCCTCATCTTTCTCTTCCAATAATCATAGCATGTGTCATCAAAGAACGGTGGTTTGCCCCCCACATGGTTGAACACAACTTGAGCCATAATTTGACACCGAGATTGTTAAGCCTTTAATCAAACGGTGACCACGGCTCAGATACCACTTGAAAGGTCCTAATATGGCTAGAGGGGGGTAAATAGCCTATTTAAAATCTACAAATCAACTAGAGCAATTTGATTAATATAACAAATAGCGAAATGCAAACTTACTCTAGCTCTACAAGGGTTGCAAGCCACCTATCCAATAGTTCTAGTTGTTATGATCACTAGGCACACAATCCACTAGGTCACTACTCACTAAAAGCTCTCACAATTGCTACACTAAAGAACTCCACTAGATGAACTTAATCCATAAAGCAAGCTCTCAATTCTAGCTACACTAAAGAGAATGCTATAGCTAGTTTGTGGAAATGTAAATGAGTAAGTGAGATGATTATATCGCCGCGTAGAGGAGTGAACCAATCACAAAATGAATACTTTATCAATCACCAGGAGAATACCAAAGGGCAATAGACAACCAATTTTCTCCCGAGGTTCACGTGCTTGCCAACACGCTACGTCCCCATTGTGTCGACCAACACTTGGTGGTTCGGCGGCTAAGAGGTGTTGCAAGAACCTCGTCCACACAATTGGACACCGCAAGAACCTACCCACAAGTGAGGTAACTCAATGACAGGAGCAATCCACTAGAGTTACCTTTCGGCTCTCCACCGGGGAAGGGACAAATCCCCTCACAATCACCGAAGATGGCCACGAACAATCATCAACTCGTGCCAATCCTCCTCCGCTGCTCTAAGCCGTCTAGGTGGTGGCAACCACCAAGAGCAACAAGTGAATCCCGTAGCAAAAACACGAACACCAAGTGCCTCTAGATGCAATCACTCAAGCAATGCACTTGGATTCTCTCCCAATCTCACAAAGATAATGAATCAATGATGGAGATGAGTGGGAGCGCTTTGGCTAAGCTCACGAGGTTGCTATGTCAATGCAAATTGCCAAGAGAGTGAGCTTGAGCCGGCCATGGGGCTTAAATAGAAGCCCCCATGAAATAGAGCCGTTGTACCCCTTCATTGGACACAACGCGGGGTGACCGAATGCTCCGGTCATATTGACCAGACGCTGGACCTCAGTGTCCCCTCTATTCAAATGTCGATCGCTCGATCTCAACGGTCAAGTGATGACCGGATGCGCTGCTGTGAAGTGACCGGACGCTGGACCTCAGCGTCCGATCGTTTCTAGTAAGCATCTAGAAGCGAGAAATCACGACCGGACGAGTCCGATCATGCTCGACCGGACTCACCCAGCGTCGGTCACTCGACGTCTCCTCAGTGTGCTGCCACATCAGCAGGACCGAACACACCCCTCCAGCGTCCGGTCACAAAGTGACCCAACGTCCGGTCAGAGACCGACGCCGGCGTCTTCGTTGCTTCTACTGACCGGACGCGTCGGTCCTATCGAGACCAGCGTCCGGTCACTTACAGTGACCTCTGTCTTTTCTGTCTAGGTCGCCGGTGGCACCGTCGGACTGTCCGCACTCTACGGCGTGGACACTCCGCCGGTGAAGTTTCTACCCCTTGCTCAAATGTGCCAACCACCAAGTGTATCACCTTGTGCACATGTGTTAGCATATTTTCACAAACATTTTCAAGGGGATTAGCATTCCACTAGATCCTAAATGCAGATGCAATGAGTTAGAGCATCTAGTGGCACTTTGATAACCGCATTTCAATACGAGTTTCACCCCTCTTAATAGTATGGCTATCGATCCTAAATGTGATCACACTCGCTAAGTGTCTCGATCACTAAAATAAAATGGCTCCTACTATTTATACCTTTGCCTTGAGCCTTTTGTTTTTCTTTTTCTTCTTTTCCAAGTTCAAGCATTTGATCATCACCGTGCCATCACCATCATCATGATCTTCACCATTGCTTCATCACTTGGAGTAGTGCTACCTATCTCATAATCACTTTGATAAACCAGGTTAGCACTTAGGGTTTCATTAATTAACCAAAACCAAACTAGAGCTTTCATCCACTTCTGTGTTATCTTGTAATAAGAAACGAAGAAGACGAAAGCACATGTATCAGCCTGAAGTGCATCTTTCTAACCAATGTTGTGTTGAGCACTCAAATTAATGATGAAATTGTGGTTCCAAAAAATTACCAAAAATGATTGGAACCGCGTGTAACCAGGATTGATCCTGAATTCAACACTGAAGCAGACGACGAAATTCTGGGAAGGGAAGACGGCACCGAGCGGTGCGTGCGTACCTGGACAGACACGGGAGCCAGCATCGAGGTGGCCGTGGCAGCAAGGGCCGCCGACTCGGCATCGACGTCGACCACTGCCATGTCGGAGTCCGCAAGATCGGGTGCGAGGGATCTGGCAACGGCGGCGCGAGGATAAGGGCTACCGACGGCGGCGCGAGGGTGAGGGCGACGTCTCGCGAGGGCGATGGCTGGCGGCGGCACGAGGCTGAAGGCGAGGGCTCGTGAGGGCGATGGCTGGCGAGGGCGTTGTGAGGGCGACTGCGGGGGAAGGGATGGATCTTTCCTTTTGTGCTGGAGCGAGACACGGGGAAGACAGATTGATGATTGGAGCCGAGATCTTGCGCGAAGGAGCGAGGGAGCACGGCCAATCCTGGATCTTCCTGCGGTGGAGTGATGGGACCAAGGGCACCGCATGTGAGGGAGCGCCAGGGATCGCACACGAGGCAGGACGATGGACCCACGTTGGAATGTCGTACAAAAAAGTGTCCATGCGTTGCTATGGGTAAATATAGTTGAATTCTATGGCATAGTACCATCATTAAAATTCGACCAATATTAAGCATCAGTTAATTCTCCATAAGATTTACACTTTAGATCTATGAGGAACTCAACTAAAAGAAACAAACAAACATAAATTGTAGTCTTTTAACCTTGAGAAGGTTGGCTGATCCTCTATACATGTTCCCCTGGCCCTTACATCCTTGTTGCTTAACCAAAGCCTAAATAAATCAATCCTAAAGAACTAAAATACAAAGACATAGATATTAGGAAACAAGTCACAAAGCTCACCTATCCGTTAGAGGTAACAATATATGTGCCTTATCAAGGTGCGAACCTGCACATACTATCCTGGTTTGAACATTTAGCTGATGAACAAAACCAATGCTAATCCTAATTGATGAAAAAGCAAGGCTAATCCTAGCTTAACATAGCACATGTTGTCCATGGAAGCCATCAAATATGGGGAAAAGCTCAAAATCCATAACAGGATGTGATTGATTGTTTGCCTTGCGCGACCAAAATGAATTCATGTTCAAAATCACTTTAGGAACGCATAAACAAAAGGAATACATGGATCAAGGTACTGTAGAAGCACACAACATTTCCTAAAAAGTAAAATTATCATAATGCAGTCAATTTTATGTCATATTCAAGTACAATGAATTAAGCTTCTTGTATTCCTAAGTTCTATACGACAATCAAGTCCTAATTAGATAGTTAAGGGCAGAATTTCTACCCATCTGATCTTTCCTGTCCATGCCATGCTGGGCACATAAGAAATTACACAACCTGTGTGGCAGTACATAGGGAAGCTTGGCACCAGCATAACAAGATTCTATACCGGTAAATAACTGAGCACAACCATCTTAAAGTGCAGTGGAAATTGAAAGCCGCTCAGCATCCATGCATAATGACACAAGTGTTTTGTATCCTTTGTGCAGATACTACCACAGACAAACTATTTGCTTAAACTGACCGAAAATATTTCACATTTTGCAAAACACAGTATGTTAAACTGACCAGCTTTGTTCTGACTTCTGACAACCAAAATCAAGTGTAAAGATGGCCACAATCAATGATGAATTGTTTGCTACAGGCTAAGATATTATTTTGTAATGCACTTTCTACTCCCTCTTAATGAAATACATGCTAAAAGCACGTCCCTGAAAAAAAGAGAATTGTTTGCTACAGGTTTTTACAACAGACATGAGCTAATTATGAGCAACAATGTTAATCTGAAACCTATGCTAATCATATCAGGCCATATTTCTAGAATTGAGACAAGTCCATATCCAAGAGCATATGTCAGACCACATTTCTAGATCTGAGACAAATCAGTACCCAAGATCATAAGAATTGATATTTTCTGAGTACTGCTTGAAATTCCAAACTATTTGATGAATGTAAATTTCAGAATAAAATACCTGCCACACTTGAACATGCATGGATACAAGGCTGTGAAATTGAACCCAACCCTGTAGAGAAGCACGAAATAGTTTAGAATGAGCAAAAAATATTTACAGGTTGCTGTCACTTCATAAACTGCAGAGATGGGAAATAAAAAGAAAATTCTAGTAGATATGTCCATATGAAATCCCATTGATATAAGTGCCTCATTCACAGTATAAGTAGATATGTCCACTTGAAATAAGCAAACACAAATAAAGGATAGATCAATCAATCCTATTTCACTGTTATACAATAGGAGATATGGACTAAGCTTTCTAGCTTGATACGCCTGAATGGGAAATAACATAATAGAACATATATTGAAATATTAGATAAAGCAACACTATTTCAGATTTTCAACTGAGGCTGAGTCTAATTTTCCGTTGAGATCCCATGCTGCATGGATTGCTTCAAGCCCAAGATTGCCCATTGCCCATATTATCTGAAACCACCGAAGAACATTCACTCAAGGCAGCTTAAACACTCATAAGGATCGAGCTAATGTGCTTGATCAGACAGTGGCAAGATGTCAAAGGAATAGTGACAAATGATTGAATCAGCAAAAATTAGGGTTGCTGAGGCAGTAAAAACAAAACAAAATTGGTGGATGCATACCAGCAGCAACTTGATGAGATAGAAATATGCTGTGACAAAACAAGGCAAAAAAGAATTTTTTCCTGCTGATCAGGGTACTGTTGTTGTTTCACTGGAACCACCTTATCTGATAGTGCATAGTCCTCCCTCTCTGGTGATGTGTATTGACAATCAAGTTCATTGAAACCACCAGAAGATTCATTACCTGAGCTTACATGTTCCGTATCCACATCTCGTGTCCTAACTTCCTCGAATTTGTTCTTCTTCAATATGTCTGCATATGACTTTACAACATTTTCTGATTTGAGGTTATCGTTCCCCTCAAACTCTGGTGCCCATCCAGGTGACAGCACTAATTCTCTCCCATGAACATTAGTTGGTGCTGCGGCAGGGGGCATCCAGAAATTGTTGGGGGAGAAGGAGAAGGAATAAACATATCCATCAAAACACATGTTTGAGCATGATCCAATTCAAACTTAAAAAATGGAGCTTCTGGCCAGGGACACCGGGTGTGTTCTGATAGTAATTGGCTATAATAGCATTTCTGAACTGATTCTCTGCTAGCGGGAAACACCACACCCTTAGCCGCATTGCAACCTAAACAAATAAAAGGGCATGAATATAGAAGCCATTTTACTGAGAGTGAAAAGGATGACATTCAAAGTACAGACACCAGGGATTGTACCTGGGCAGGATAGCTTGTTTTGCCCTTGCTATCATGTGACCATGCATTTGATTTAGGACAGAACTTGCCATTCCCTGCAGCTTCGTAAATACCATACAATCTGCGATCATCATAATTGAAGAGGAAGAGAGGTAGTCCTTCCTTAATGTTTCGTACATACGAAATATGTCCTTTTGGCAATCCTGAAACATGACACAAACAGTAACTAAGTCAGTGGATCCCTCAACAAGTTGATATGCCCAAATGCATTAAAGGGGGAGCTCAGCTTTGTAAACACAAAGCTTAGAGAAGAGTTGTTGTGATGAAGACAAACCAAGAGCATACCAAAAAGTTGTCGTGAGTGACACTCTGCCATGGTATTGTTAGTGCAACCAAATATCACAGCTCCAAGGTCTTGTTGTTGGAGGTTTCTTGCAGGAATGGACAGGTTTGTTGGACTGGTAACTTCGGTGTTGTATGCATTTTTAAATTTCGAGGTGTAAATGATTCATTCAAAGTACTACAATTGCCTAACGAATTATGGAGCAATGCTTGAATGCACATGCATATCAGGCAATAACAACCTAAGCACAACTGAAATGCTCCAAACCTTAGTATAATGAATAACTGAACATCTCCCCTATATCAGACTAAAACATATAAAAACAACTGGAATTTGGAGCATTCTATTTAATGCACACTTTGTACAAAGCACAATTTGAAATTTAGTAAAGCCTAAGGGGCCTGCACTATGGATATAGGATATAAACCCATCCTGAAAATTTAAACACATGTATTGCTATTGATTATGACTACGTCAGGAAAGAAATTCAATTGAATGTGCAGCATGGTTTCAGAAACAATAGAAGGGATGAACAATGGCAGGAATAATTTGACAATTTTTGTTCGCAGTTCAAGAATTAACATTGTCCTGTACCATACCATGAGAAGGTTTTATGGTGGACATTCAGGGAATTACAATAATGACATATAGTAGAAAAAAGACCCTTAATCACAGAGTATGCACAGTGGCCCTAATGAAATAGGGGCAGAATGATTACTTCTCTACAAATTGACATATCAAAGAAGCATTACAGTTCTATAGTTGCATGATGTAACCCTTTCAGTACAGTAGCATCAATTAAACCATATATAATATAAGGAAAGAAAAATAGCAATAGCAATATAGCAGATAATTGAAGCAAAAGGGGTGCCAAGTGTTTCAGATGAGTGCACTTACGTATGAGATAGAGTGTCAATTGGTCCCAGGGATCGACAGAGAAGGCCAACAACACCACAGCGCAGGCACGCAAACAAACAAAGAGAAAAGCTTCGTGTATCTGAAGAACATGACGAACATAGGCGGGCCAGGAAATCAAACAGCACAGTAGCATAGATTGATGCGAAAGCGAAAGCGTAGGCACGCAGGCAGGAAGGCACCGACGCAGGGTGAGCTAGGACAGGGCAGCGCCTCGTTTCCACTCCAGATGCGAGGTTGACCTCCGCATGGACTACGCCGTCGGGTGCGCTACCGCCGAGATCGCGCTGCTGCGGCGTCGATGCGGGGTGAGCCAGGCAGAGCACCAAGTCGATTGCATGGGACGGGATTGCGGTGGCCTAGCGGAGTCGCGGCGTTGGTTCTCCGTGACTTGGGGAACCGCTAGGGGGCGGAAGCGCGGGCCAGCGTGGGAAGCTCGAGCGGCCGGCGACGGCGCAGCGAGGCCCCAGCGACTCAGCGACCGAATGCGCGCGCCTGGTCGCGCCACTCGATTCACCGGATCCGAGCTCCGGTGCGATGGGGAACGGGCTTCCGGTCGGCTCGCGCGACGCGGCACCGGAACCAACACACCGGCTGCTGCTGTGCTGATGCCCAGCCAGACGACGGTGAAGAGCGACGCGACAGCGAGACGACGAGCGCGACGAGGGCCTCACGACGTGGATGTAGCCGAGGGAATCCGCCACCGCCGTGTCTGCCCTACAAGGATCTAGAGCCCGAGGGCGGCTGCCCGTCACCGACACCCACGCACGCAAGGCTATCAAGATGGGGAAGGGCGCAGCGGCCGCCGTCGGGAGGTGATGGGGAAGGGGCGCCGCCACCATGGTCGCGGGGAGCAGGGCCAGCGGTGCGGCGGCTTTGGAGTCGCACCTATGGCGGGCGCGGGAGGTGACGGTGCGGCCTGCTGCGGTCGGGCACGGGCGCAGGGTGGGATCGTAGGGATCGCAAGCTTGGAGGAGCTCCCACCTGCCGGCGCCGCGGGATAGCAGGCGTGGCAGACGCACGGACCAAAATTAATGTCGCACCAAAAGATATTCATGTTTTGTTTTTAGTTGTATGAGATTAGATAATAGTTGGTATATCAACACGTTACAAGCACACTGGATTACATAGATATCCTGAAAACTAATTTTTATCTAAATTATATTCACGCTCCAGATCTCAAAACCCAACATGTACGACGCTTTGCAGTATGGATGACCGCACGATAAACACTCGGCAAAAAGCACGTGCCCAATGAACGACGTCCAACATTCATGTAGGCGGAGTTGAGAAACTTGTTCTTTCTGATGTCTTCCTTCTTCTTTCTGTCACCGAAGGATGAGAAAGACTGATCTAAAACTTATTCTTCCTAGTCCTTCATCATGGCCAGATCTAACCACAATAAAACGGAGAAGGGACCAGAAAAATTATTCCATGGCGGCGACACCATCTCCGCCTTGATGTCGCCGTCCGAAAATAAAAGTCTCCATGTCGTCATACCGGTGAGTATGCTGACGCCGTAGTTGTTGCCCTCATGTTCAACAGAGCCGTTGTAGAGAAAACGATTCCACCCTGCCCTCTCGATGTCACCGGAGAGGGGGAGGAGATAAATCCCCGAATTCAAGAAACTTGGCATAGAAAAACCATAACCCTAAGAACTCGATCTATCGGAAAAACTTATTAAAAACAATGGAACCCCACCCCCTCCGGCCTCCGGCGATACGTCAGAGGGAGAGGGAGGGGGACCAGCGATGGTGGAGGCGGGCGACGGCGACGGCGATAGGAGAAGTGATGTTTCACGCACATAAAGGAGACAAATGGCATTTCCTTATTACGGACAGACGGAGCATCCGGACGCCCGCGCCCACATCTATTTCACATGCCTGCAGCCGTTTTCCATGCTCATGTGGGGCTCGTGCTGCCCTGAACGTCATCAGCATCGAGAAGAGGGGGAGGGGGCGATGGATGCCAGCCGACGCTAGGAGGAGGAGACACTGAGGCGAGACAGCAGAAAAGAGACGAGGAAGATGCAATACCTGATCTACTTTTAAAACATCCAGATGCGATACTTCCAACATACGTCTGAAGACACATGAAACACTTGCAAAAACACATGAAAAACTCTTGAAAACCACTGTACGCAACATCAAGATAAAACACTTGCAACATATGTGTGAAAACATATGCAACATCCAAATAAACATAGTTGCAACATACATCTGAATGAAAACAGATGATACATTGGGAATAAAAGATTGCAACAAACTTGTACAACCATTGCAACATATGCAACATCCCGATCTATTTTTGCAACATCCGTATAAAACACTTGCAACATACATATGCAGACATCTGAAACGTTTGAAACATACACTTCCAACATGCGCTTTCACCGCAACATCTCCTTGCTGCTTGGAAGAATGGAGGCCCATCGGTGTGTGGAGTTCACTGGAGGCAATGGCTCGGGACAAGGAGCAGAGAAGATGACGCCCACATCGAGTTTAAGGAGGTGACTGACAGATCTCGGAAGAAGGGCAGCCAATGGTCCTCAGCTGCCACCCTGAGTTCAAGGAGCCGACGGTCCTCGACGGTCCGAGACGTGGGAGAGCAAGCGTGGTCGGCGCGGCAGGTGGGCAGGATGGGCTGCGTAATGCCGAGTCGGAGTAGCGAGGAGGCGGTGGGGGCGTGAGGCTATGCCGGTGGCCAGTGGGGCTACGGGCGATGGTGTAGCACGCGGGGTGCGACGCGGTGGGGAAGGAAGAGGGCCGCGAGGCAGAAAGATTGATTATTTCTTTAAAGCTCTCGAGCGGATAGGAATGGGTAACTGGGCTAATATTGTGGCCCACTATAACACCCCCGGTGTTATGTCAGCATTTAGGCACTGTAAATCATGCATATCATGCATCATCAAGCATCCTAATCATACATGCCCAATCATGAAAATAATAACTGAAACACTGCTTCGAAACATATGAAACATGTTCGTGAAATGTCAATGTTGCATACACCTGTTTAAGAGTTATTTTGCCCTGATTATGTTTGCTAGGCTAGTAAAACATGTTTGGCTATCATGGTAAATCATCTAGAACTGTTTAGCACAATTTTTGGAGCAAGGTTTGTATTTGAATTATTGCCAAATTTTTTTTAAATAATTCTCCAAAATTAGGGTTTTGAGTTAAGATTTACTTTAATTTTAGAATTCAAAATCTATCAAGAATTTGGCTTTGGTCATAAAAGCAAAGTTATAGAGAATTACATTCTAATCAATTTTCATTTTTGGTACATTTTCAAAAGATGTCATTTTCTTGCTCAAAATGATATTTGAAAGCTGGCATTTAAAAATTTCTTGAAAATATAAATTGAAAAAGGCTTCCTTCATTTCGCGGGCCGCCGCCTCGTTTCCGGCCCACGACCGAAGCCGGCCCGGCCTGCAGCAGCGAGCCTCCCACGCCAGCGCCGCGCGCCTTGCCTTGGCCCAGCCCAGCCCAGCGCCGCGCTTGGCCTGCCTCCGCGCTCGCCCGCCCGCTGACGCGCCGCGTCGCGTCCCGACCATTTCAGAGCAAGCCCGCCACGTGGCGGCCATGCGCCGTCGACGCCGCCGCGCGTCGCAGCCGGCATGCGCCCGCTCCCACGCGCCCGCCTACTTCTACTAGAGCCGCTGCGCTCGCCTTCACTCTCCCGCGCTGCCTTTCTTCTCCGCCCGCGACGAGCTCGCTCACTCTCCCACTCGCCGCACCACCGCACCCGCCGGTCAAATTCGCCGTCTCTCCTCCACCTCGGCCAGCAATCGTGCGCCAGTAGCTCCTCCTCGCTCTCCGGCACATGGTGCTCGCGCTTGTGCCGCCTGTTGAGCCCAGGTAGCGCCTTCTAGCGCCTCGCCACCGTCGGCCATGGCGCCGCCGTGCTCGGCCGTCGTGGAAGGCACCCTTCCTCCTCTTCTCCACCCTGCCTAGCTACATGCCCGCATTCGTCAGCTTCTCGCGAACCGCATGCACTCGCTCGCTTGCCCTGGCATGGCCGGCAATGGCCGCCAGCCCCGTTGGCCGAGCCGCTCCGCCGCGACGTCACGGCGCCGGCATGGCTTCGCCTCGGCCGAGCTGGGCCAAAGAGGCCATGGGCCGGAGCCCCTGCCAGGCCGCCTCCCTTAACCTTCGCTCGGGCCGCGCAGGCCAAGTGTGGTAGTGGGCCGGCTGATTCCCGCGGGCCAGCCCAGTAGCAATAGGAGGATTCGTTTTCAATTTTTCTTTATTATTTGAAAATAGAAATGGTTTGGAAAATGTTTGGATACTCAAATTTGCTCAAAATCTATTGAAATAAATTTTTCTAGGTTTCTTATCATCAGATCTACTTGGGAAAATTATTGCATGTCGTTTTTGGGATACTTCTCTGTAGAACTTTATTTAATCATGGATATTGCTGATAACTTGAAAAATATGTAGAAAAACCTATAGGCTTCAGAAAAATATGATTCCAAGTTTGTTAATCTTCTTATGTAATGTACTTTCTAGGAAAAATATGTGTCATGCATGTACTATAGAAAAATTATGAGGTGTAGTTCAAGTGCCTTTAATGGCTGATTTTTGTTATTTTAGCTAGAGAGCAAACTTTGTATAAAACATGCATGTGATAATTTTTGTACAGTGATTGTATGCTATGAAGATCATAGGAAAAATGCTAACTCTGTTGTTTGACACTTTTCACAGTACAAAGTATTTTCATGTTCATAATCATGCCATAGCTTGTTATTTTTGTGTAGGCTAATCCACTCATTCAAATACCATGAAAATTTGATAGTAGACTACTTAGGGTAGTACTGTGCTATGGTAATTTTCTAAGATTTTTCTAAGCAATAAAAATAGATGTTGCTATTCAAACCTATTATTAATTAGGGTTTAAGCAAGTGTTGCTTTAAGTGTGATTAAGAAATTAGTGAAGCTTTGGTGTATCTTTGAAGCATTCAATAAGATGTGTTGACTTAACATATTAGTAGTAAAAGATAATGCAGTAGATGACATGTGCTCGTAGTATATGTTCTTGGATGATGTTCACTACCTTGCATTTAAACATATCCATTGTATTCATCTCATTCGATGCACCGATTGCATAAGCACTTACGCACATTGCATCATACAGGATCGCAAACCGAGAACCCAGTCGTCATACGAGGAGCCCGAGGAGCGGTTAAAGGTGCGGTAGCGCAGAAGTGCCCGGCCGCCGACGAGGAGGACGTTGAGGAACTTCTAGAGTGCCCGATCACCGCCTCGAGCTCCTTCGAGAGAGGCAAGCCCTTGAGCATTTTCTCCCGGTTTGCAATTATTAATTAAATGCTTTACTTTAATTGATGCATTACGTTCGTGGAGTTGTTTGCAACCGTTGTTTGCATTATACCTTGTTACCTTTGTTATACTATATCCTTGTTACCCCTGGTATCCGCAGTCGAGTCAATGCTTAGTGGCTTAGACCGTAGAAGTCGGGTGATTTCTGTCACCTGTGAGCTATAGGTGGTTACTTGGATCTGCTTGGATGACTATAAAGTCATGGTATAACTAAGTGTTAAATGAAGTTGAGACCGGACGGAGACTTGCGTAGTTTTGGACCGTAGTGCTTTCGTCTGCGTGTCGATTAAGGACCGACCGTTGTTGGGACTCGAGTCATGTTGAACGATACCTTACATTTAGTCGGCGGATAAAGTACCTTCCGACCGTGAAGTAGGGAGATTATTCGGGCGAGTAGATTGCCCGTAAGCGCATTTGTCGGGCAGGTGTGGTAGGACACGGGGGCGAGATGATAAGACCAAAGTGCAGTCGGTCGGCCCCCAGGTACATGTGGTTCCTGGCAAACT